ACCATTAGAAATGGATGTAGCATGCAAAAACATTCTTGCACCTATTAATAAAAATTTGGTTGTATTTTACTTAATATTTTTTATTTGAATAATAAAAATTTAGGTTATACTATAGAAAAATTTAAGGTTACAAAAAATCCAATTTATCCAAGGAATATATTTTGTCATCCACATTATACCTCAAATAATTAGATTAGAAAGAAATTTAATAATATTAAATATTACTAAATTATTATAACCTATTAATTGCTACATTTGAAGAAATAATTTTATGGCTAATATCTCTAGAAGATAACAAACATTCATCTATGACTACTACATGTACAGATTCAATTTTTTCAATTAAAGATATTTTTTGTTTTTTAACAAAATCTTCATCTATAAAATAAATTGAAGCTTTTAAATCCATCAAGACTAAGGTTTTGTTAATTTTTTGGTCCTAAAAAAATCTATTGTAAAGCAAAGCAAAGAAATTGAAAAGAGAATATAACCTTCACTAAGTATTCTATAAGATTTCAATCATACAATCTCTATAGTAGCCAGATAAACTTATTTTCTAACACATTATCTTCTTTAGCAATTATGATTTTTATTTTATAATTTTATTTTTTTTTAGAAAATATTGATTATTGCACTTAGATTCTCTAAATTATAAGCACAATTCTTTTTGATGATGTTAAGTCTTTTTTTTCTTAATGAGAGATTTGAAACATATTGTATTGATTTATATAAGTTTTAGTCTTAATAAATAAGTTTGTAAAAACTTAGGAATTATTGTTGTGACTTGACTTATTCTTCTCTACCCAAATCTTTGTTCTTGGCATCTTCCAAAAAGTCAATTATTGCATGCAATGGCTTGTGCAATAAATTATTTAAAAGACTTTGGTTTCAACATTATTAATAATAAATCTTTGATATTATCTTTTAATCTATATTAAAATTCATTGATAAGAACTTTGTTATTTTAATTGATGTAGCAAGAAAGATTTTAGAATTTAATAGCATATATGATAGCTAATTGTGATTCTTATTGTAAAAATAAGAGTTTTGATTGAATTATTCTTCTTTGATTGATTTTTCTAAATTTAGTCATATATATTTCTAAAAATAAATTTTAACTATATAAGAATTATGAATTATTTTCTATTAAAGGTACAAATTAAAAAAAAAATCCTCTTAGATAGAAATATATTTATGAATCCAACTTGAGTAAATCCATCAAGATATTAGAAATGATATAATCTTATATAAAGCTTGATTTGTTATAAAAAAACTTGAAATTTTGATCTTGTTTGATTAAACTTCTCTAGTATACTACTTCTTACATTTCTTGTATTTATAGTAATAAGACTTTTTAAATTCAATTGTAAGGTTAATCTACATGTTTTTTTCAATTGCACAACTTCTTGGAGTAGACATTAGACCTCATTTTTGACTTCTTCCATTAGTATGGAAATAATATCTCCATGACTATTATTAATAATATATAAAATTTTCTTCTTAAAATTATTTTAAAAATTGTAAAGATCTACAATAGTTGCAAATCTATTATCATTTTTGCCAAATGTAATATCTATAATTTTTTTTCCATCTTTATAATAGACTTTATAATAGAAAACTTTGGCAAATCCATAAGTCAAATTAAAAGAGAATAATTTGTAACATATGATATTAAATTAAAAAAATATAAAAAAATATTCCAGTTTTTTTAAGAAAAAACTCAATATTGATTTTTTATTTTTATTTTTTTTAAAGGTGGATAATCCATAATCTTTAAAGTATAGCAAAAGAAGTGAAATAATCTATATACTTCTAAAATAAAATAAGAATGGTAAATTAACACTCTTATCAAATTGTCAAAGACATAATTCATACAATCAAAATATCAATACAATCTTATATCACTTAAAGAAAGTAGATATTATCTCAAAGATAGTATAATATTTACATTATAATGGCTATTGTCAAAGATAAGAATGTTAAAGATTTTTAAAATGATATTTAAAATAATAATAATAAAAAAAATTGACAAAAGTAAAGAAAGCTTCACTCTTGTCTCTATATATACTATCTAACGTAGAGCTATGTGACAACATTCTATAGAATCTCCAATATATGTCCAACTTACAGAACAATTATCTAACTTGCAAGAGAAATTTCTTACTTTTGTACTACATAGCTAACTTGCAAAACAACTATCTATCTTGCTAGAAACTTTTTTCTATACGTGCACCATATGGCCAACTTGTATTATAAGTCATCAACATATGTGATACATCGTCAACTTATTGGCCAAGTTTTTAACCTACCAATCACCTACAAACACATAAAAAATCAAATATGTGTCTATATCATGGATATATATCTAATTTAATTATTACCTTGAATAGATAGAAGTAGATAAAAATAAATAAAAGTAGATTGATTTTATAATACCTTCTAGAGAAGCTTCCTAAAAGCTTTCTAGATACTGTTTTGACTTTATATGTGTTTGAAGTTGATTAGTAGGTTAGAAACTTAGTCAACAAGCTAATCATGTGCCATATTTGTTGGTAGCTTGTAGAATAAGCTAACTATGTGGTGCCCATATAGAAAACTTGTCTTGCAAGTTAAGATATATGTCATGAAAAATCAATACATTTTTGGAGATCCTATAGAATATCACCACATAGATCTTAGGTAGATAGTAAATATAGAGGCAAGAATAAAGCCTTCTTTATTCTTTTCAACTTCTTTCTTGTTTCTATTCTAGTTTTAAGAGTCTCTAATTTCCTTGTCTTTTGGCAATAGCTATTTGAGTTTTTCATTTAATATATATACTTCTTTATTTCTATTTCTTTGAGAGAGTCTCACTTATTTATTTGCTTTCATCAAGTCTTTGTCTGTGATAGTCTATAAAGCTTCTCAAAAGCTTTTTTATAAGAAATTATCAAATCTATTTACTTCTACTTACTTCTATTTAACTCTTTTAATGTAGATAAAGATGTATGCTTGTGATATAAAATTGAATTATAAATAAGTCTTGAATGTAATTATCTTAGTTGATTTAGAAATTATTTTATTATTAATAAGAATTAATATTTAATTATCAAGCTTTATATCCACATTATAATTTTAGCTACATTTTTTACTTATAAAAATCTAAAAATATTAATTAATAGTTTAAAAAATCATAAAAAGAGCTTCATATTTTTTTAGTTATTTTTATAAAAAGTAAGTTTCTTTAATTGATTGAATTAATTATATTGGTAAAAAATTTAATAAAATAGAAATAATTAGTTTTAAATTAATATTATAATATTAAATATATTATAAAAAAATTATAATTTATTTAAAATTTATTTTAAAATGTTAAGAGCAATTTTTAAGCCCTTGGTAAAAATAATTTTTACCACATTAAGAGGCTATTATGAAGAGATTGAGTAAGATTATAAGGCCCTATAAGGTTTATATGCTAATTATGTATTTTTTAATACTATAATATTGTCTATATATATATATATATATATATATATATATACTAATAAAAATTAAGAAGACCAATATCATTAAATAAACCAAAAATTAATCAATTGCCACAATCATATTTTTTTTAAAATATAGTTTATTGTAATTTAATTACTACTACATTTTTTGCTACTCCTACCACATTTTATCATGTACTATATGTCATTATATTTATTTTTAATGCCACCATAAATTACTTTAAACTTGTGTTGGACACTATAATGTATTTTATAAAATACTAAAATAAACATCTATAAAGAATAGGTACTTTATTTATTATAGTGTGCATTAGCAATGTTCCATAACATACATTTTGGTGAGCAATGTAAGTTTAAATGAGCTTGTGGTAGCATTAGCAAAAATTATGATGTGATGAAATATAGTAGATGATAAGTTATGGTAGTAGTAGCAAAAATATACTAGAATTAGTAACACCATATAGTAGTTACATAAATAATATTAAATATAAATAATTAAATAGATAATTACAACTGTTTTTATTATAAGATTCCTCACAATCTTATATACTTCTTATAAATGTTTTTGTATGCTCTTCTCACATATTCTTCTCATATGCAATGTATCCACCACTCTCCTAAAAACAAATTGCTCCATGTTTCTTTATTTTTAAGCTTGATATTACCAACATCTTTAGAAATTGTAATGCTTTAATTGCTTACATAGAAAAGGTGGGCATTGTTGTAAGTTATACAATTGTAATAAAATATTCCAATACCTTCTACAATTGCTTTCAGCTAGACAATGACTATTGCAAGGTGTGGGTAGCATGTGGTGGATGACAAGTTGTGGTGGCATTAGCAATACCCTATAAAAATAATGAAGAGATTATTCTAACATATGACAATATAATTTTTAAAATTTTGTTGAATATTTTGATAATTTTTAAATAGTAATACAAAGAAATTGTACGATTATTATTTTGAATTTCATTTCCTTTTGTGTCAGCTCGTACAGCAACCCCGAAGTGCACAATGTTGTAGCCTGCAGCCCTAAACTGGCTAGGTCTGCCTCATGGATTTCTGGAACTAGTCGGGTGCAGACTCTGAAGCATAAGAAGTTGGATCTCCTACTGTTTATACCAACCAGGTCTAGATGCTTGCCACGCGAAGTATGATATGTGCAGAGACTAGATAATGAGCAAAGCGTATAACTTCATCACCCAAACAGATGTTCGTAAAGATTACTCATTAACTAGTCTTTCAAAATAATATAAATGTCATTAAATTTCCTGCACCTACAGGTTACATCTAATACGTCATCCACAAGGATCATTAGATGTCCCTTGAGGCAAAGTTTTCTAGAACCTTTGTCAACACGTGAAAGTTCCTGCAAAGAAATTTGGGGCATTGATCAAGTGCCCTCGTCGGTCTGTGTTACATTCAACTGCGGTCAGCACCAGCGCAGCCAGCTGGTTTGGGCTGCAATCATGGTACTGATCTTATTAGTTTTCATACAGGAGATTCTGAACACAATGAGAAGTCAAGTTATCCATACATGATTTATTATTCCAGGCTTTGAATTGAGGTTCATATTGCATTGAGGAGTACTTCAGTACAATGGATTACAATTCTTGAACCTTGCGCAACGCGTAGAATTGGCAAGAGTTAATGTAGAGTTTAGATTCCTGAACGCCAGCAATGACCCCTGGCAGAAGTCTTGGCAAACTTCACAGGTGGCATGTAGGGAGCCAGGCAGATTCAAGATTTGCCCATAATTTTGTACCCCTTTTCCAATATTCTTAATCGAGGTTGCTCTGCAGTCGTATTTCATCAGAACGTTTTCTACCCTTGGACAATGAGGCCTCAGCTCGACGTCGATGCTCAAGCATACGATCAACTCCTGAAAGAGAATTGAGAGAATCAGAACTTAAGGTTGCCACAGGACGGCGCTGGTTACGGGAAGACTTGAGGCCTGCTTGACTCCCTGAACGCCAGCTGCAAATCCTGGCAAAAACCTTTAGCATGCTTCGCAGGTGGCATACAGGGAGCCAGGCGGATCCAGTATCCCATATTCCGTGCTAACGCCTTCCAGCTGCATTGATTATGCTTGCGTAGTTGATGATTTTTGCAACTGGCCGTGCATCGAACAGTACTTCTCCCCACAAACAGTCATTATACCCGTCTGCAACGAGGTTATGAATTTCAGAACAGAAAGTGCCTCAGCAATCTCTGCACCGAACTAACTTGCAAGAAAAGTACTACCTAAAGTAGAAGATAATTAATCCTCTACTGAATAACCTCAGCACCCAAAATCTTGACCTACATATGATTTGCCCTATCATATAGCCTGTCTGACACCCAGCCCACCATCCTGGGAAATAATTGGCGATTTTTGAAGGTCACATGCAGAGAGCCACGGGGGACCTAATATTTCCCATTTTGTGTGCTTCTTCTCTTCGTGAATTCATGTATATGTATAAACTTGATCCGTAGATATAAACTTTCACCTGGAGTTATCTGATTCCTCTACAATAACCTTACCTGGCCCCGAATTTGTAAGTTAAGGGAGATGGTAGTTACCTCAGTTAGATCCCACTTCGACGTCGGTGCAAAGCCCAGATCGATTAGGCATGGAAACGCTTAGCAAGAGCTTAGAATTGGGCATTACAGACTATGGCAAGATTCAGAGTCTGCTTGGCTCCCTCCACGCCAGCTATGAATTCTAGTAAGTCTCTTCACAGCATTCACAGGCGGCATGCAGGGAGCCAGGCGGATCCAACATCGCCAGTTTCTGTGCTGCTCGTCCTACATTCAGGGTTATGGTTGCCTTGCGGACGTCTTTCAGCTGGAAACCATTTACATGTTGATGACATATGCCTTAGATGGAAGTCCTCAGTTCGACCCCAATTCTCAAACTTATGATCAAAAGGAACTTGTGAGTGAATCAATCCCAAAACTTACTGTTGCACTTGAGCGGTGAAAGTCATGGCAAGACCAATGGCCTGCTTGACTCCCTGAGTGCCAGCTATGAATCCTGGCAAAATGTTCAACAAGCTTCTCAGTTGGCATACAAGGAGCCAGGCGGATCCGATATCTCCCCATGCTGAACTAAACCTCCTGTGCAGATAGGCAACTGCATGCTTCGTATGTTTGATTAAGCGCCTAGAATGTGGTTCTTCGAGGCACAAGTTCGGTCCCCAATGTGGACGTGAGAGCACATTGCCTAAACCATATTTAAAGTTGTTGAGGTCGCTAAACTTCGAGCTAACAGCAATGTATACATCAACCTGCAAAAAAAAAGGGTTTAAGCTGGATTATTCAGGGTTTGTCTGCTTGAAGTGCGCTGCGAAAAACCTGAGCATCAGGCAATCTTGTTCATACATTGACCACCAGAATCGAAATATCTAGAAAGCTTCTAATCGTACTTAATTGGCTTGTGCTAGCAACAACGTATCGGCAAATTGGAATCCAATAACGGCTTGAGGAAGTTGCCGCATTGGAGGATGAGATAATCTGTCGCTCAGTTCCCATCGAACTGCCTAGCCACGGGCGTCACGCCAAGAACATTCACAACCATAACTCTCAACCTCTTCGCAGAGACTGACATCTTGAATGATATCTTTTCGTTTCGTGACAATTCCTCTCCAACCCACAAATTAGATTAGATGTACGAAACCCATCGACCGTCAATCGCATCGGGCATGCATTTGCTCACACTCCCATTTGAACCGTCAGAACCGCCCCAGCAGCTCTGCATGACACACCTCTCTCATTGCGACATGTATCCCCAGAGCGATTGAAGGGAAGAACTGCAGGACACCGTACAATACCCGCTTTAGCCGCTCCAACCGTAGAAATGTGAAGTGCACTGAAAGAGAGAGAACTGGAACCAAAAGATGTAAAAGTTTTATACCAATCGGGTTGCAGGATCAATCGAGCAGGTTCGATGTATGGTACGTCACCGGGAAAAGCTCACTAGAAACCCGAGGTGCGGGGGGACGACGCTTGTGCAGCTGGCAGTAAAATGAATTTCTCTGGGTGAGTAAAGCGGGGACAAGGTCACACAATCGGTGAAGCACATTGAAGGCGCATTGCGAATCAATACGGATCCTCCGACTCGGATCCTCCCCCGCCCCTCCCTAAATGACAAGAAGATCGATACAGGAACCAAAGCACGATTTTGGACTGCGGGAGCACAAGATTGCCCCCGATTGCTGCAATCGAGCTCAATCTTGCAAGAAATGTCCTGTCCTTCTCTCTTACATTCATTGCATACTGTCGCCATAAGTTTCAAACAGCATATGCTTCACATTAGACGTCGTCCGCAGTTGGATCCGAAAACAAACCATAAACCTATCACACTACAAAACAAGGAGAGCACACTACAAAACCTATCACAGTCCGAATCTTAGCAAGCAAAACCTGCACTGGCTCGACTGAGGTGATTTCATTGTAACGAAATGGAAGAGGGGAAAGTGTACAACGAGTCTCTCACTACTTTCTGAAATCCTGTAAATGCAATCGCTTCAAGTCTGTGGATTTCATGACATTCCTAGTATCCGGATGTCGCCCAAAATTGGACGGCAGCTGCAGGAAAGACTACAGTGTCGTTTCTCGGACATTCATCATCTGACTCCCTTCTCAACTTTCAAACTGTAGGGTTGCAACGAACGCGCAGTCATCGAGTTCGATTGAGAAGAAAGTTGCAAGCAGAATGCACCATGAAGGAACACACAAACGCATGGAAAAAAACGCAGGGGCAGATTTGCGGAAGCCAAGCTCTCTCAACGCGTACATTGTATCGACAATTACGGTGATGCACCCCACAGAATTCGCTAGCGACGGCCCCGCAAAGCTAAACTTCATGACAAGTCGAGGCAGTTTCGCAACCGGTGACTGAAGGCATCTAACGGACCGACTCAAAGGGGCAGCGAGCTTACAACAGTTGCAGCGTCGCGAGCCTGCATTCTGTGAAACCTCAAACCAAACCAAGGCTAGTTTCACGTAACCATGAAAGACCATCGTTGGAGACGCAAGTGTCTTCTGCAGCGGTCCGCGGCGCCACTTATAATCCACCTCCGTGCGTGGCCACGCTGCTGCAGCAGGGCATAGTGGGGGAGGAAGGGCCGGGTCCATAGCTGCTGCTGCTGCTCCTGCTGGCGTTGGGGAGCGTAAGCTTCGCAACCAGTCTCCCGCTCAGCTCCCGTTTGTCCTACTCGGTCTGTTGCGGTTGCGGCCTTGGGCGTCGGTAGAAACCCCCCGCACCATCGTAAACCCCTTCTCATGGAATCACGGCAACACCCACTTCTCCGTTTTCTAAAAAAAAACACCAATTTACACTCCTCAACTCCTCGTCTAGCCCCTTCGTGTCTGCTTTGTCTTGGGAGATCCGATGGGATTTCCCCCTCCACGATGCACACAACCTCGCCACCAGTTGCAAATGCAGCTCATGTTGTTGCTCGTTGCAGTCCAATTGGCTTCAATTGGCACTTCCACAATGGCAATGCAGTGAGCACAATTCGCGTAGCAATTGGTTTGATGTGCCAGGCATTGCATGTTATTTGCTGATCCACAAATGGGTTCATGTTCTGGTCTCTGTTTCATAAGCCATTTGTGTGTTTTCATTTTTGTATTTGTTGGTGTGTGTGATTTGAGTTTCAAAGCAAATCCTCTATTTGATGTATTTGAGTGGCATCTTTCCTTGATTTATAGATTCTATTAAATGTCAGAATATATGTAATTACATTCTCTCTATGTTAAAATTTATGTTTCTAGAAGGAGAATGTTAAATGGACCCAAGTTTTTTACTAAATTTACCCACTCATCCTAACAATCATGAAAAAAAATAATGACCTCTACATTCATTTTTCCACTATTGGATCTACAACCAATAAAAACCAACCACATTCATCATGTTTACCATATTCTTCATCTAGCATGGATCTATTTAACATTCTCTCTCAAAAATTATGTATTCTTGAGATTTGAAGAATCAAAGAATTAGATTTGAAACTATTCTATTGATAAAAGATTTAATATTTTATTTTAAAAGATTATCTTCATTTAACAATTTCTTAGTAATATTAATATAATTAATCTATTTTTAAAATTTAAGTGCATCCAAGGTTTTTAATTAAGGTTTTTAATTCCAAGTTTTGAAATTCAAAAATTTACTCATTATATATTATATTATGATATGTGTCACATAAAATAAAAAATCTTAATCATCCATGCTAATAAAAAATCACATTTTCAATTACAATCCTAATACAAATAACATGCCTAATTTTTGAATTTACAAAGTGCTTTAACTTGAATAACTTTTGCAACTTAAGTGATCAGATAATATGTGATTTTTTTTATATGAATCATCAACTATTTTTTGTGATTTAAAAAAAATTAGACAACCATGTTTTCTAGTTGGCCCCATGTCTAATAGAGAACTTTTATGATAGCTAATCCATTGTCCACTACCCCCTCATTTCTTATCTTTAGGGTGGTATATTTCCACTACGCCAGTGATTTATTGTTGACCATTTTTGACATTTTGTAGTTGGAAATAGATTCGAAGCCTAGCAAAAATGATATTAAATTTTGAACAATGTAAACAATTCACTATACTTGAAATTAGTATAAGTGAACTATCAAAATCAATTTTTGCATTAGTGGAGTTGCACATATGTTGCAGCTGATTATGCATTGAAAAATCAAGGAGCTGTTGGAGTGAGATTAGAAGATATATGTATTTAGACTGTATGAAATATTGTTTAGAGATGAGTTGAAACAAAGAAAAATGGTGGCAAAAATCTAACTCAAACATAATGAATTATTTACAACTGGATGTTTGAATTTTTGTTGCCTCATCTACACATTTATATCTGTAGGTAGCAGAGAATTAGGAGAAGTTTGATAGCATAATTAAGTAGCACACATCATGGTTTTATAAAAGTTGGATTCTTGGTTTTATAATTCACCACCAATCAAAATTAGATTGGTCTATATGTCAAAAATAAGTCAAAGAGAATCTTCAGCTAAAACATTTATATAAATTTTTTTTTTGAACCAAATTATATGAAAACACTTGGAATCCTCTTGATTTCTATTTTCTTATGGAGGGATATTTTTTCCATTTTTACACCTATTGGATATAGGTGTAAAAAGTTTAAGTTATTGAAAATAGGTTGTCTACTTTATATCATAAAATCCTAAAACCAAAACTTGGACTAGACCTCAAACTCCATTCTAGGATTCAATTAAAACTATGCTTATCACATGTACAAATCCATTCCATGTATGCAATAAACATTATAAAAAAATAAATAAAATAAAATAAAATAAAAACAGTAACAGAATCTTTTGTACCACAAAAATGCACATAATTTGAAGAAGCATTTAGCATCCCAACACATGCAAACAAAAGGAATCAGAAGCCGAACACAAAGGACATCCACCATTCATATATACATACATGCACATGTGTGTCTATATGTATATACAAAAATGTAAAAGGGAGGGAAACATGGGGTTGTGCTTTTAGGGCTCCTTCAAAATCGTTCCCCCCAATATTATGAGAAACATGAATTGCAATGCGAGCCACGTAAGCAGAACATGTGGCCATGGTGCTTCATCCACTCAGTTTTGGCAGACGAGGTATGTGAGGTGGACATTCATCCAAAGCTGAGCTCACGGTTTTAGGATGAAAAATATCGTACGAGATTACGTTCACCCTGCCGCGGAGGTGCTGGGGTCCCTGGTGATGCCGAAGGACCTGGGGAAGGGGACGACGACGAAGGAGCAGCAGCAAGAGGAATAGCTTCAGTAGCTGGAATCAGTAGCTGGAAGCAGACCAAGTCCATGAGATCAGAGAACGCCAGTCAGGGAATATAATATTTTGTTGTTGTTGTTGCTGCTGCTTCAAGGCACGCTTCCCCGGGTAGATGCTGTGGAATGTTGCCGAACTTCTAGAGAGGCTGTATGAGTGTCCTGTGTGGTAGCCATGCCTGGCCACAGAGATCCCACGTATCTCTCTCTACCAAAGATTTCCCATGGCCAAAGGGTCGAACTGAACCCCACTGTCAGGAGACTTGTCATCCTCGTGCAAACCCCCCTCGCCAGCCTTCGTAGTAGCCTCCGTAGTAGCCTCCGTAGTAGCCTCCTCGCTTTTGAAATACTCTGAAATGTCCCGAATATCTCCTTCTTCGTCGTCTTTTGTGGGTGGGAGTGTACCTTCCTGCTGACACAGGCCACCTCCTGCCAGGCTACCCCTCTGCGACGCTGGCTTGCCCTGTAATTTGCATACAGTAAGAAAATGCGATTTTGTGGAAGGAGTGAGAGTAGTAGGTTTGATCGCGGGAGCGGATTCGTGCTGCGAATCAAGCTCAGGCTTGGGAAGAGCGGCGTGTCCCCTCCTCCCTGGCCCGTGGAGTCCCACCGCAACATGGAAAGCTGCTGCGTGTAGCGACCCAACGTGGAGAAGAACGGCTTCGTGAAGCTTTTGAAGAGTTCAAAGCAAATGGGCACGCATGCCCCGCTGGCACAGCCGGCACCCTGCCAGGTAGACGAATTCCCCCGAGGAGGTGGCACTTTGCTTCGTTCCCGAGATGCCGCTGAGCTGGCCCCCCCCCGGCAGCTTTGGCAGACTCGTTGCTGTCCTCTGAAGTTACTTGCCGTATGCAATTTCATACATGAAATTTGGAGGCATTAGAGGAGAACAGACTATTGGGAGGGGGAAAAAAAAGGTTCAAAATTTACTACTTATGTGTGGATTCTCTACAAAATATATCAATTTAAATATAGATATATCTATACATGTCTATATTTATAGGGGAATGTTAAATAGACCCACCTCTTTAGTAAATTAATCTACCCATGATGAAGAATATGGTAATCATGATGAATGTGGTTGGAGAAATGAATTTAAAGGTCATTTTTTTTTCATGATGGTTAGAATGGGTGGGTAAATTTAGTAAAAACCTCAATTTATTTAACATTCTCCTATCTATCTATATATATATATATATATATATCTAGTTTGCCTTATTGAGAGAGAAAAGTTTTACTTTAATTAATCCCCACACTATATGAAACAATATTGAATGTGTTTTTTTTTTTTTGTTTTTGTTATTTTTTGTTTTTTTTGTATTATATTGTTGAGGTTGCATTGCACAACCTTTGCTCTCTTCATCCCTCCTTGTTGTACTCCCCATTTGTGGTAGTTGTGAGTAGTGCCAACCCACAAAGGGCAAAGAGGAGGATGTATAATGTTGGTTGGCATAGAAGGGTACTCAACCATATCCATCACCTCCCCTTTGTTATTTGGTAAACATTGGTTTAATTTTAGTTTTAATTTTTATTTATTTATTCTATGTTTGATCATTGCAAATTGAGCATGAGTTATTTTAACTTAGTATTTTTCAATTAAAAAACAATAATATAAAATGGACCTAGATTTTTATTAAATTAACCCATCCATCTTAAAATTGACATCTAGATTCATTTTTCTACTATTGGATCTAAAACCAATGAAAAACAACCACATCCATCATGATTACCATATTCTTCATTATGGGTAGATAAATTTAGCAAAGAGTTGGATCTATTTAATATTTCTCTAATTTTAATACTCAAATACTTAATGATATATTAAATAAAATTATACTTGTATACACACTATACATAATCAAATGTCATATCATAATGTTATGTATTTACAAATAGTGAATAATCAAATCTATAAAAATAATGTGTATATGATGCCATCATGTATTGTATATTAAAAATGCTTTATTTGACATCATATGTCATGAAATTATGCCGTTCATTCAATTCTTATCTACTGAAGTAATTTGATTTATTTGGTGTGTGATAGATATAATTTGTTCATCAGAATTGATTCAACAAATTTGTGGTATGCTAAAGTATGATATGCAAAATTATTATACTCTTGTGAGTTAAAAGAAAATTTGTTATGGGATATGCTTAAGTATGTGGATGCAAACTAATAACTGGAAGTATGATTTGACAACTATGACCTCTAGCATTGGGACAAAATACATATTTTAACAATGAAATATCTATGTCATATCTCTCCCATGTAGTAAGTCACAATTGATGATAATGCCACATCTCCCTTCTCACATGTACCAATTCATTTTACATCTCCATCTGCACAAGCATCACAAGCACATGTACTACCAGCAGCAACAGTACATTTAATATTCGATTAAAAAAAAATCACAATACTTCCTTTTTATTCAAAATTTTTTTTCATCATAAGATGTAGAATCTTTAGATATGTTTTTGAAAAAAAAATCCTCTCATAATATTGGAGAGTCATTATTGATTTTTGTTTTTCTGATCTGACAGATAAAATTTCAAAATGATGTGTTAAAGCTGGACTGAATAATAATATTAATTTCAA